ACTACTACGATGAGAGTACAGTCTTTCTCCTTTCCTCTCTTTTCTTAATTGTTGTGGTAGGATCCACCTAATTTGCATAGTGGTGTACAGACCATATAAATATGGTTGGTACCGGGAAGAGAGGGAGGAATCAAGAGATTCAACCAGAGACTCTGCCCGACTGCGACTCAGTCAACACATTCTCCAGGAACAGTCTTACCAGGAATATACAAAAGACTATATGTAAATATTGTGTACACTTTTCTTGTTTCAATACATTTTGTTCTAAGTACATTTTGTGTTGCATTATTATTACATGCATTAGTCAAGTTTCAACATTAATAATAGTATTAGCATTAATAATAATAATAAGAAGAAGAAGAAGAAGAAGAAGAAATACGAAATTCAGGAAGTGTATGTTTATTGATATGGCAGTACCATCTGAGAGAAACACTTCCATCGAAATTATCGAGAAATTGTCCAAATACAAGGACCTGGAGATCGAGATTAACAGGATATGGGGAATGAAGACTGAGACTGTACCAATAGTAATCGGAGCACCGGGCCTCGTAGAAAAGGAATGGACAGTTTTACTAACAGTGTCCCAGGTAACATCAACATACAAGTTTCCCAGAAGTTCGCCTTACTAGGAACATCACATATACTAAGAAAAGTGCTATCAATTAAATGACAATTCTCCTATAGGTCCTAAGGATAGTTTGGACCCGGCTCTACAAGATACAAATCAGGAAACATAACATATACAAATACTACTACTACTACTGCTACTAATATTCCTAATACTACTACTAATAATAATAATAAACGAGGAGTTTATGAATGGCGTGGGAAACATTTTGAACATTTGTGGGATTAATATGACTATTCTTGACATATTTATTATTTGTCTATACCTCTGAGATGAAGTATTGTAACAACTTATAGTATTTATCTTGTTCGGCTTGTTGTCCTCATCTTCGAATAATAGACAGAGAACATCAATGGAAAATACGAAAGCTTAAAGAATCAGCATATATGTCAGGTCAAAAACTCTCCTAAGCAGGAGACATGAATACAATATGGGAACCAGTAATACAGAGAGACAGAGAAAAAATAGCAATAACAGAAATTGTAATATGAGCTCTGGTAAAAGATTGCTACTGAGACATTACGTTTATAAATCCAAAAAATTCACTCCCAAATCACCCCAAGGACACATGTTCCAGTTTTATAAAAGCGTTCGTTGATTGATCCAAAGGAGACTTGACCCAAGAGTTGTGAGTTCAATATCTAGCCACAACTAAGGAGAAGAAATTTAGAGAGTTTAGTTAACAAGGAGAATTAACTGAAACTGAGATATCCAAAAGAGGTATGGCACGTGGAATTAGAACAATATATCCTCGTGGACTGAATGATGGGTTCGGTTCAAAATTACTCAAGTTCTTTACAACAAACAACTAACCAGAGTAACAGTAGATGAGAATCTGAAAAAGAGATTAAGTTTTTTCTTTTTATTCTGTCAAACAAGAAACCACTTTCAGCTGACCACACAAAAAGGTAAAAATAATTTAACACTGACTTTTATCAACTAGGACGTACAATCTTGACTTCACTTGCTTCTCTTGACCACTGTGTTTAATTGATTGTTTATATGCTTTCATAGTCAATGCCACATAATTTTGATGTATAATTAAATCACATGACTAGATGACATGCTTTATCTTCATTCAATCACATGTAAAACTACATGAATCCAATCTGTCCTTTGTTGTCTCACAGCCATCTTATTTCATTATGAGCATATTTTTTAATATTGCCAAATAGATAACAAGGTGTCCAGTTCTAACCCCTTACAAACACAAGAATTATTCAGAATTAATTTTGAACTCCCAACAAAACCAGAATAGTTTATTGGAACTTATTTTAGGTAACCTGTGCAGGTTTTTTTTTAGTTGGGGTGGCTATTTATTTATAAATTTTGAGTCCAGATTTCAATTCATTCATTCATTTTATTCCTGCTGTCTGTCTATTCCTGTGTGATTATGGCCATATAACATTGAAACCCTAGTTCTCATACAATTAAGCCTGGTCAGTACATAGAAGGGTGACTGCTTCAGAATACCAGGTGCTGTAAGCATTGATGTGAACGTTGGGCAAAGGATAACAGGCTCTAAATTGGAATTTGGAAAAACCAACTTCCAGTTCCATTGATATATTCACTTACAAGCAAATAACCTTGGTAAAGGCATGAACCCGCCTCTTCTTCCTCCAGCTAGGGGTTAATTTCTGTCTTACTGATTCCATTGGCATCTTGATCTTGACATTCTTTGACAATTTGGTTGACACTGCTTTGCTTTTCTCAAAACCATTATTACATGTTGTCTGGTTAGATGTTAGCACAGAGTTACACACAGTGTCACTCAAATGTGTGATGGCTGATATGTTTGACAAAGTCATGTCAGCTAAAAAATATTAAAATTTACATAAACAAAATATTAGAAAAATAATATATCATTAAGAAAAAATAAGAAGCTGAAAAAGAGATTAAGTTTTTTCTTTTTATTCTGTCAAACAAGAAACCACTTTCAGCTGACCACACAAAAAGGTAAAAATAATTTAACACTGACTTTTATCAACTAGGACGTACAATCTTGACTTCACTTGCTTCTCTTGACCACTGTGTTTAATTGATTGTTTATATGCTTTCATAGTCAATGCCACATAATTTTGATGTATAATTAAATCACATGACTAGATGACATGCTTTACCTTCATTCAATCACATGTAAAACTACATGAATCCAATCTGTCCTTTGTTGTCTCACAGCCATCTTATTTCATTATGAACATATTTATTAATATTGCCAAATAGATAAAAGGTGTCCAGTTCTAACCTCTTACAAACACAGTAAAAATTCAGAATTAATTTTGAACTCCTGACAATTAAAGTCAAATTAGTGATGTTGGAGCATACTAACCTGTGCTAGTATTTTTAGTTGGTGTTGATGTTTTCATTTGTCGTAAGCTGTTGGGGGTCATCAGAATTGACTTTTCAGAAGACACGCTATATTCACTTTCTTTTAGGCAAGAACGTACTTCAATGGAATCATATAACCATTGGGGCTTGACAATACAAATTTTCCATTTACGTGCAAACTCATACTTCTGTCCTGAAAAGATAAAAGAAAATAAATATCAGTAATATTTCAACAGTTATTATATTACTGTACAATATCCCCTTTCGATACGAGGCCGATTTTTCCTGCAGTAGGTTGCCATTTCTTTCTGCGCTAGATCAATTGCCGGTGTGCCTTGCTATAGCTGGTGGGGAGAAGAAGAGGATTAATACCCTTTCTCAAGGGTACTGGCACGTAAGTGAATGTAATGGATTCGACTGGAATTCGAACTTGGCTCTCCGATTCCTCAATTTTATCACTAGTGTATTCAAAACGAATTTATTTTCTAATTGTTATGGTCCTGGTTAAGACCAAGGAAGAACAACACGAACACAAGAGTAGAAATAACGAAGGTATATTACACGAAATAATAATACAAGATGTGGAAGGTGTTAGTATGACTGTCAGTCTGCTTTGGAGTGAACTACTATCTGCTTGACTCAATTCGTCCCTCTCTCTTGAGAGGCATAGTATACATAGTGTTAGGAAGAGTTCATTCTGTAGTTATAGGTAAGGAGTGGAGTCGGTCTTAGGGGTTAAAATGAACAATTGATTCGCCAAGAAAATTAATGAAGAATGATAATCATAAGGGCGTAATTTTGACAAAACAACTTAAGGAATTTATTCCCGAATGTTTCAGGAAAATAAATTAGAATTCTTAGAGTCCGTAGTTTTAACAAATTGTCGTGAGGAGGAAATGTTAATGATCTGACACAAAATAATATTCAAAAATGTTTAAGACAAATGTAAGCGAGGTCGGAGCTCACAGAAGGGATATAGAGTTTGGATTGTTTAGAGAAAATTATTTGAAGAGTTTCGTGCTTCTTAGAGGCCAATAATATCATTGGGGAGTAATTTTACAATGTCGAGAACTTCAACGCTGCTCGCGAGGAACTGAAACGAAACCATTCACATTGACTTCAGTCACGCTTCTCTTATTAATTTAATTTTTCTCCTCATTTTATATCAAACAGAATTTCGTGTAGGCTCGGTACCACCACCACCATCACCACCACCTCCTTCTTTTCTCTTCTTCTTCTTGTCTCCCTCCTTCTTCTCCCCTCCTCCTCCTCCTCCTTCTTCTTCTTCTTCTTCTTCTTCTTCTTCTCTCCCTCCTCCTCCTCCTTCTTCTTCTTCTTCTCTCCCCTCCTCCTCCTCCTCCTCCTTCCTTCTTCTTCTTCTTCTTCTTCTTCTTCTTCTTCTTCTTCTTCTTCTTCTTCTTCTTTTCTCTCCCTCCTCCTCCTCCCCCTTCTTCTTCTTCTTCTTCTTCTTCTTCTTCTTCTTCTTCTCACCTCGCCGGTCAATTTCTGTGAAGGCAAGATTTTCATTGGTCCAAACAAAACTGGCCCTTTCCTTTTTTCCCAAGCACTCCGAATTTGAAGGGAGTAGACGAAGAGAGTGGACGAAAGGAGTTATTATTTTTTTGTACTCAGTAAAAAACAATTTAAATTTGTCCAACTTACTAAACCTCCATACAGTAACCTCATTCGGTAATACTCTACCTTGTGCACTGTTTGGATGGAATATTTAGGTATCGAAATATTAGATATTACAATCAGTAGCTTTATAAATGGTTTATAGACCCTGTAAGTTCCGGTTAAATCAACTAGTTTGTATATGTTCTGAATCAGCTTCTATAAACGACTGTTCGTTTATACAAATTTAGAGCATTTTTTTTTCTGACGAGAAAATCCTGTCCGAGGCGAGTCTAGTCGGCAAACATGCATTTTTCTGTCTTTTGATGTAAAAAAAAAAAATAATAAAGAAAAAGCTATTTTTTTTTCTTTTATGAAAAAAAAAATCATTTAGTAGGGAAATCTTTTGAAGGTAAATCTTTTCATCTAATCAAGTGCTTAAAGGAACGAAAACAAAAATAAATATTAAAAAAAGAAAAATATGCCCGGGAAAGAAAGAAAGAAAAAATTCCAAGATGGCGACTGATGCCTCATTTGCGCTTTTGTAGTTGTAAATGTCGTATTTAGCCAATTGACTCTGTTGCTCATAGAAACATCGTTCTTCTAGTTTTGTTGGCTGTATTATCCCGATATAGAATGGAATATGAGTTAATGTTTACGTTGGAGTACAGGAATACGAGGCTATGAGTATTTTCAATGATCATCTAGAACCTATAACGGTAGAAAATCGCCTGCAAATGGATAGAAAATGAATTCATTAAATGTCCAGAAAAAAACACGTCGAGCAATCGATATGTAAAAGGATCTATGTCTATCTTTTATAAATGATACAAAAGCACTTGATCAATTACGTCGGAAAGATAAAGTCGTTTAAAAATGATTGTTGTTTAAATTTAGAGTATAAAACTAAAGTTAGCAGATATAGACTCGTGAAAGCGCCAACGAGAGATAAATGTTCCTTAGGTGGATAATTCAGACATTGTTGCATCAAGATAATCTCCCGTGTCCAAATTGGTAGCGTTTCGGTTACAGGAGCGATTTCTCTGGTGGAAAAAAAGAACACCGTTGCGATTCTTTAATCTTTCTTAAACAGGGTATCTCGATCGAGGCCGATTGTTATTAACTTCATTGTTTAATAAAAAAAAAGACAACGAAAAAAAAAAAAAGCATGGATATCAACAAAACATGTATACCTTGAACAAAATAACGTTTTTATGTTTTGCAGGCAAAGCATGGGCGCGAACGCATACATGTTGAATCATGCTATGAAAAAAAATTGCATCAACGATAAGTGCATATAAAAAAAAGAAAAATCGAGAAATATAAGCAGTGAATTCATTATAAACTCTGACGAGTGGACGGATGGGTCCGTCGACGAAACACTGGAGTCTGGATCCTGATGAAAATCTGCTAAGTGACAAAACTCTTACTAATATTAATTATATACATACATACTAATTTACAAAACTCTTACTAATATTATATATATATATATATATATATATATATATATATATATATATATATATGTATATGTTATGTATGTATATATATATATATTTATGTGTGTGTGTGTGTGTGTGTGTGTGTGTGTGTGTGTATACTAACAGGCTTCGCCCGATCGCTATCACTTTGCAAATTAAGACACTACTTGAAATCTGTGAAACAAAAATTTCAAAGGAACATTTCATTCCAAAATTGGCTTGTTATAGTGAAGGAATGTTTTACAAATAGATGCCAACTTGTTGATGGCCAAGTAAAATTCTAATTTCAAACACTTTTCTGCACTATATAAGATTATATTCCTAAACAGAACTATTTTCGATATGAAAATCAAAACAATCCTCGAATAAAAGAAGAGTAATGAAGGACAGTTAATTAATAAAATAAACATTTTTAAAATCAATATGCAAATTAGTTAAACCTGAAGATGATATTACCTAGATGTAGATAATATATAATACAAATATTGAGTTTTACTGTGTGTGAATGGCTATAAAGTAGAGCTGTCAGACTTCATGGAAGAATTGATCTCCAATTTCGCATTTAGTCTTTTAGTTTCCCTATTGTAGGTTTTACTTAATTAACTATTATGTTTCTCTCACTCTTCAAATATTGAATGTATAACTAATTTTAATTTCTATTTTTCCATCTTTACACTATATTAATTTTATCTTATAAATTGTCCCCTTTTCTGTCACCCATCAAATAAAAATAATTATACGGAATATAAGGATCTACGTACATCAAATCGTCTTTAAATTAAGTGTCAGCAGAAGAATTATCGTTGAACTTCTAAAAGATAAGCTTAAACATTAATTCAATACTTAAATGCAGGGATCAATTTTGAGTTCTTCTTTAGTTTATTGATGCCTATCACGTCTACTCCTCCCTAGCTATTGTGATGATGGCCAAACCAAGAGTCCTAGATTAAATGCCGCCCGATATGGCGGCTTTTAAGCTAGCTGCAATTTTGGATACAAAAGGAAAGTAAGAGTTACTCCACTTTAACCATGAACACAACGATATTGGATAGTATAATATATTAATATATATTTTTAACCTCGCATAATCTGGCAACCCTACAGCTGAGCTCAACGAAAATCGTTCCCTGCGCCTCACTATCTTAGGGCTTTTGAATGAGCTATGAATCATTGAAATCGGATCAGTGGGAGTGGAGGAGATACTTGAACACACACACGCACAAACACACGTGTGCTTTATATATAACATGCTAAAGCGTAAAAAAGGACTGCTGGAATTGCTATGTAACTTTAACAAATCTGTTTAGAACAACCGTCAAAGCGCACAGCCAATAAACCAGAGTTCAGTAAATATACAAAACAAAGATATCAGTGTAAGACATGGCTATGTCTTCTAGACGGAATTATCCAACCTCTTCATTGAGACGATTCTGAAAGAATTAAAAGTCCTACCAATATTCCTTACTGGCGGCAACGCTCTTAATAACATCAAATATGTAGCTGGCACCGTGTTGATTGCAGACATGGAGGTTAGAAATGAAGACTAAACATCAATTTTGCAAAAAGACTGAATCCAAAACGAACTGTCCAACATGCAAATTACAAATTAGAGATGCCAAAATCAAATAAGTTTAACAATATATATACATATATATCAAGAATTTTTTTATGTTTATACATTCTTTTTATACTTACAAATATTTAAGTAAATGCTCTGTTTTATAATAAACAATATTTACCGGCCTGAATGTTCGAGAAAGTTTCATAGAAAACATACGTCCTCCGACAGGAATCGAACTTGTATCCGATACGGAACCGTCATATAGCCTGACGTGCGTTTAACCGATTTGGCCACAGAGGAGCGTTCGGTTAGCAAGGTCGATTTTACTGTTTTTAAATTCAGGCTAAATGGCTTTTCCGTATAGGATACAGGTTCGATTCCTGTGAGAGGACGAATATTTTGTATGAAAAGTTCTCGGACATTCAGGCCCTACCGATCGAGCCACAGAGAATCGTTCGATTGGCAAGGTCGATTTTACTGTCTTTAATCTTCAATCTTCCATAATTCTCTCACGTACATATCTGCTCAATGCGTATCCAAATGTAAACAAATGACGTCACACAGTATGAAATGGACAAAGTCCGACAATTATTTTAAGATATTTTTATGTTTATACATTCTTTTTATACATACAAATATTTAAGTAAATGCTCTGTTTTATAATAAACAGTATTAAACAACATTTACTGGCCTGAATGTTCGAGAAATCTTCATAGAAAATATTCGTCCTCCGACAGGAATCGAGACTGTATCCTATACGGAACCGTCATTTAGCCTGACGTGCCATAACCGATCGAGCCATGGACGAACGTTCGACCAGCAACGTCGATTTAACTGTTTTTAAATTCAGACAAAATGACGGTGCCGCATAGGATACAGGTTCGATTCCTGTGGGAGGACGAATATTTTCTATGAAAATTTCTCGGATATTCAAGGCCTCCCGATCGAACCACGGAGGATCGTTCGATTAGCAAAGTCGATTTTACTGTTTTTAAACTTCATTCTTCCATGAATCTCTCACGTACATTCATATCTGCTCAAAGCGTATCTAAATGTAAACAAATGACGTCACACATTATGAAATGGACAAAGTCCGACAATTATTTTAAGATATTTTTATAAAATTTTTATAAAAGGCTCAAACACTAATATTCCATGCTTATAATTTATTACGTTGAAATCGTTTAAACCTTTTATATTATATTATACTCTGACTCTGTCCAGGACATTGAGTTCTACCTGGATTTTATTTGTCTGTTCAAATATCAAGAAAAAAATCGTGTAAATTGTTCTTGAGATATGATTGGATATTTTTTCTCACGCCCCCTCAATCAGTGAGGAAGGTCA